AACTGTCTTGGAAACAATGGACCCAAAGATCCTTATCAGATGAGTGGGGTTGGATCTTTCTGACGTAGGATCTTAGATGCATTTTTGGACAGGACAAACCGTCATACTTAGCAAAAGTAGGAACTTTGAACTTGGGAGGAATGACGACCCCAACGACCAACCCTAGTTCTTCGAAATCTAAACTAGGTACCCTTTGCAACTCCATGGCTGCCAACCGATCCTCAAGATTTTTAAATTTAACATCCCCCGAGGGATATTGTTGTTCGAAGTAATCTTCGTCTTCTTCCTCTTCCTCTTCTTCTCCTTCAACTTCAGATTCAGAAGGCATCGCTGTTCCTTTTCCTTTACCAGCCCCTTCATCAGACATTGAGGGGAACTCGAGAACTTTTCTAGCATTGCTTTCAAACCTCCTTCCCATAATGACCACACCGGGTCTCTTCTTATTTTTCTCTTTATCTTTCTCCAACAGTGCTTTAAGGTCCTCTTGACCCTTTGCTAAGGTCATGAGGAGTTGCTGGAATTGAGAATTCTACGCTTGCAGATCCTTAACCGCCTGCTCCAAATCCATCCGGCTGAAATAAACAGCAGAAAGATAAGGAAACCTGGTGTGAAGACCTGTTTATGCATATGATGAATGATATGTTATTCATGTAATGAATTCAAGGATTCAGAAAATTCAAATTTGTTGCAAACAAAAAGAACACACGCCATATTAAGAAGAAATTTGTTAGTACATAAGTGCCCCATGGGAAAAATATTACAAAGTTCTTAATGTAAAAAGACATTGCGCATACTTTTTGGTGCGATGTAAGTGTTGAGAGTTTATTCCTCATGAAGTCGGCGGGTAAGCTCTAAAACCTTCTTCTCACTGGCGTAGAAGCTGGCTTCAAAAGTATTCCGCTCTTCCTTGAGTTGGATCCAACTCTTTTGTAATTCTCCCAATGATGTAGGCATGTCGGGATGTAGGAGGGTGTATGGAACCTCTCCTTCCAAAATAGGCTCTTTGATCACGAGGAGAATGTGAGGGTATGGCATCATAAGATTTTGGGCGCGGGTTCGTACCCACTTGAGATAAGGCTCAAGGGGGATGGAATTCTTGTGCCCCAGTGTCTTACTATCCACTTTGTTGGGCATCCTCCAAGCTCTGATGAACCTTTGTCGAAGTCCTTGCGCATCGTTGTCGAAGTCAAAAACCAAGTCAGGAATCAGCATATCATGAGGGCCATCCCTTCTAGCATATCCAAACTGTCTTAGAGCTAAACAAGGGTTGTAGGTAATGCCTCCCCTAATGCCAAGTAGCGGGACATTAGGGAATTCCCCACAACGATCAATGATGATGACATTTTCTCTGGACCGAGAACACCAATGAACATTAGAATGTGTTAAGGTCATCAATCGTTGTGACCACCTTAAACCCTGCTCATTCTTCAAAACTGTTTGTGGAAGTTGAGAAATAAACCACCTTGCTAGGAGAGGAGTACAACACATGAGAACACCTCTTTTCATCATTGTTCGTGTGTAAAATGAGTGTAGGATATCCCCAAGTAATGTAGGCACAGGATTTCGAGATATGAAAATCTTGACAGCATTCACATCTATAAGCTGATCAGGATTTGGGAACAAGACCAGCCCATAAATGAGGAGTGCCACAATCTCCTCAAAAGCTTGTAGATCTAGAAAATTCCAGCAGTCTTGTGCCTTCTCAAACAGAAACTTTTCCAAGAAACCCTTGACACCACTTCTGGTTTCCAAATGTCCTTTGATGTCAGATGGTTGCAAGTGTAATGCTTGAGCAACATCTTCAGGCTTTGGTTCTTTTTCCGTACCGTTATAGGGTAGTTGATGAAGAATAGGAATTCTCAGGAGTTGAGAAAATTCCTCCAAAGTAGGTATTAGTTGATAATCAGGGAAGGTGAAACAGTGGTGTAGGGGGTCAAAGAACTGGAAGAGGACTTTCACCATATCTTCTTCAATGTTGGAGTTGACCAAGTTGAGAAGTCTACCATGTCTTTCACTGAAGAGAGAATTCTCTAGAATCTTGGAAGTAAGCTCCTTGAGTTGAGGAGGGATTCTCACAAGGTTGATTTGAATTGTTTTCCTGTGAAGAGATTACATGACCTAAAAAACAAGAATAAAGATGAAGATCCAAACCCTTAAAATGGTTAGTGGATGCATATGATGCTTTATGATGTTCATGATGTATGCACAAACATATGTACAAGAAAGTCACACAAGATCCTAGTTTCAGGCTTGCATGAGGTATCATAGGTAAGTACCCTCTTGAAGTTAGTTGGCTCAAACCGGTCCTATAAATAGTAACCGGGTTCTAAGGATCTCAATATCACTGGATTATTTTCTGTGTTCATTGTTTTGGTTTAGCCACTTAACTGGCGACCAAAATATTCCAAGAAAATAACCCTCAATGAGTGTAGTATCGAGTATCTACCAACTTCGGACTGCATCAAAGCCGGTTATCTCACTACCCCTAAAAAAATGGCCAAGATGGTCAAGTAAGGTTCTAAGAGTTCATTAGTGCTTCATGACATCACTCAGCGACCCCGTGTTCTCTTTGATTGACTCAAAGGCTACCGGTACTCACAAATATGTCGCACTAATATAGCTATTGCTTCAACCATGTCGGTATACCCCGCATAGTTTCCACAATGTATTGCTATTTACCTATGAATGTTTCCCAAAAATCCGGGTGGAGGATTCAAACCCAAATAAAGAACCAAATGTAAAGCAATCCAAGCAAACAAAAATAAGCATGCAAAGGGTGATCTAAACCCTAAGGTTACTCCACTTTTAAACTATTCCCCAGCAGAGTCGCCAGTTCTGTGATACGGTGGGAGAACTAACTTGAGGTTTTGCGTTTGTGTTCGCAAATGTTTCGGTTTAGCAAGAGTCGCCACCGACTTTTTATTTTATCCTAAGGAAAGGTCAAAAAGCACAGGAAAGACCTTTGAGATGTTTTCTTGGGTTCGGGGAGTAGATTATGAAAAGGGAATGTGCAAGCACCCTTTTCATCCATGGTTATCCATGGGCTCTTAGTTACTTGTTTAGATCACTTGCTTTGCTTTTCAATTGTTTGAAATGGTGCTTTGTGTGTGGTTTTGAAAGATGTTTTGAAAAGAGGCCATCGTTATGGCAACCTTTGTAATGATTCTTGTTTGAATTTATACAAAGATGTATTTGTCTTTTGAAAAGTTTTCAATGTTTGAAAGTAGGGTTTTGAAATTGTGTTGTGAAGTGTGTTTGAAATAACAAGGATGTTTTTGCAAGCTTTTGATCAAGTAACTAAGAGTTATCTACCCTATTTTACTCAAAGATCTTTCTTATGTTTTAAACCCTTTTAACAGTGTTGTTGCACCATTGCATTTGGTGAACAACCTTGTGTTAGGATGTTAAACGGGACAGGCGCGGGTCATCGTATAGACCATGATATCAATTGTGCTAAGTATTTTTGGAAATTTTCTTGAGGGACTTGATCATTTATGTTTAGGCCACCAAGATAGCGTCATCGAGGGACTATGATCTTTTGTTTTGTTTTTGTTTTGCCAAAGTACTCAACATGCATACCATGGCCCATTTTTGAAGGCAACAAGTGGATTGTAACCCTAGGTGTGTAAGTGTGCATTGTGTTTGTTTTTCATGCATTTTTGTCTTTGATTAGGTCAAACTATTTGTTGGTTTTTGATTTGCATACAAACCCTAATTCTCTAATCATGACATAATTGAAAGCGTAAAAATGTGAGAATTTAAATTCTAAGCTATTACAAACATGATTATGGGGATATGGGTACAATTTTGGATAGCGGATTATCTTGCAAGAAATTTAAACCCTAAGTTATTACAACCAAATTGAATTTACAATGCATAATATTTAAATGTACAATTATTTAAATAAACAAAATAAATAAATATTAAATAAAATGTATTATGCAAAAAAAAAAAGAAGAAGTTTTTATGTATGTAAAAATATTTTCAATGTAAAACAATATAAAGAAATAAATAAATAAAAAGGTTAATTTTATTTATTTTAGGGTAAACCCTAATTTCTTTTAAGAAGATAAACATTATATATTATTTATATACAAAAATATATTAACATGTATAAAAATGAAATATATTAAAAAAAAGTGTTTTTTAGTATGAATAATAATAAAAATAAAAATGT